CTTACAAAACATTCGGGTCTTGGTAGAATACTACATTGTCATAACAAAACATTCGGGTATTGGTAGAAGACTACATTATCATAACAAAACATTCGGGTCTTGGTAGAAGACTACATTTCATACTAGTAGGAAACATGAGATTTTCTAGGGTTTTTCATAATTATATCAATTGTTTCATTTAAAGATTTACATGGCATTCATAACAGCTTTTCAAAACAAGACATGACACTTAAATACTTATGAATTCACCAGCTTTAGGCTGATACTCGCTTTCAAAATAACTTGCAGGTCACCGGTTAGATAGGTATGATGGCCAGGTTTTGAGAAGATGGAGCACAAACAAGACTCATCTTATTTTGATTATTCATTTTATTGTTATACATTATGAAAGAACACACATGTATTAAAACTTTACTTATAATGCAATGGATGATGTTGTTGCTTGTTACTACTTTGCACTGTTGTGATACTGTACATGACGTCCTCCACCCCAGAACGTTTCCGCCGTTCTTGGTTTTGGGGTGTGACACCATTATACTTCTGGGCTAATGCAATTGCGGCTACATGCTATACCTAGAATCGATCCTACTTAATTGAATGGTTCTCCATTACTCCTTATGAAATTTTGAACAATCAAAAACCAAACGTGAAATTTTTTTCATGTGTTCAGTTCTAGATGCTTCATTTTCAACTCCAAGGAGAATCGAAACAAGTTCGATGCCAAGGCGGACGAAGGAATTTTCTTGGGCTATTCCTTGAACTCCAAGGCATATAGAGTTCTCAATAAACGCTCGAAGAAAATTGAAGAAACATACTATGTCACCTTTGACGATAGTTATGTTAAGAAGTTAAGAGCAACCAAAGATGTATCACAAGACATATTTCCAAAGAATGGTCAGGTTACTATTTCCATCTCAAATCTTTTCGATCAATTCATGCTCTTGTTTGAAGAGCCTCAGAAAGCAATTGACTCAGAATCAACTGCAAAAGACAACAATGTTGACAACTTAAAACAAGTTGTAGATGATGTTGCTAGAAAAATGGCTGATGATCAATCCAAAGGAACTGAAAGTATAGACGGAAGCGAACCTTCTGGTGACCATCCTACTATTGAGGGGGAGGGTTCTTCTCCCCATCATGATCAAGGTTCTTCGTTCCAGGGGGAGAACTCATCGCTAAATACAACAGCCTCCACTGAAATTCCAACCAATGAAGGAGGTACAAATGCTGGTCCTGAACAGGAATCATTCTTCGAGGGGGAGAAAACAGTTAGTGAAGATGACAATTTGTCTGAACTCGAAGAAGAAATCAATACTGAATTGGATCCCATCTATGATTCAAAATTTCCTCCACTTGTGAAATGGACCAAAGATCATCCCTAGACTCAAATTATTGGGCAATCCTCTGAAAAGGTGTTGACACGATCCCAAATCAAAGCGAGACAGGCTGCTCTATTTTCAAAAGTTGAGTTTTGTATGTTCAATTCATTCGTGTCCAAAATCGAGCCAAAGACTGTTAATTCGGCTCTTGATCATTCAGACTGGGTTCAAGCCATGCAGGATGAGCTAAATAAGTTTGAAAGAAACAAGGTATGGCGTCTTATTCCAACACCAAAGGATGCTTCGGTTGTCGGTCTCAAATGGGTGTTCAGAAATAGGATGGACAAAGAAGGAAATGTTATTCGTAATAAAGCTAGGCTAGTAGTCAAAGGATATTGTCAGGAAGAAGGAATCGATTATGAAGAAACCTTTGCTCTAGTGGCTAGACTGGAATCTGTTCGTATCTTTCTAGCGTACGCTGCTCACAAGAACTTTGAAGTCTATCAGATGGACGTCAAATGTGCCTTCCTCAACGGTGAACTTGAAGAAACCATATATGTTGAGCAACCACCGAGATTTGTGAACAAGAAGTATCCTGATCACTGTTATATCCTTGACAAAGCTGTCTATGGCTTGAAACAAGCTCCCAGAGCATGATAGGGACCCGAAGGCATTTTTATTAATCAGGAAGCATATACCAAGACTTTGCTCACCAAGTTTGGAATGACGGGACACTCCAAGGCCAACCGACGAGAATCTCATCTTCAAGCAGTGAAGAACATCTTTCGCTATCTAAAGAGAACTTCCTCTCTAGGTCTATGGTATCCAGCCAACTCTGGATTCTTCGTGCAAACATTTTCAGATGCTGATCTGGGTGGCTGTGGATTGGATCGAAAAAGCACCACAGGAGGATGCCAATTTATGGATGGCAAATTAGTCAGTTGGCAATCCAAGAAACAAACTTGTGTTTCGTTATCCACTGCAGAAGCCGAATACATTGTTGCGGCATCTTGTACATCTCAATTCGTATGGATACAGAGTCAGCTTCAGGATTATGGCTTAAACATGAAGAAAATCCCCCTATACTGTGACTCTGAAAGCACAATCAAAATTTTTCACAACCCAGTGCAACACTCGAAGACAAAGCATATCGCACTGAGATATCATTTCATCAAGGATCACGTCGAAGATTGCAACGTAGAAATTCACTTCGTAAGAACGATTGATCAACTGGCAGACTTTTTCACAAAGGCTTTACCTGAAGCAAGCTTCAATAAGATCTTACAAGGCCTTGGAATGATGCAAGCCGAGTCAGTACCAATATCGCCTTCTCTCTCTTAAAGGTAACAAGCGAAATAGAGCGAACCTATATGAACCGAAATGAATCGAGCGTTCGGTCTATTTCGGGTTCGGTTTATTTCGGGTGAAGTTGGTCCATGAACCGAAATGAACCAAGCTTTCAGTCTATTTCGGGTTCAGTCCTTCTGAACTTGTTCATTTTTTTTGGCGTTTTCAAGTGTTTACTTATGTACATCTTTTCTCTATTTTTTTTCTCTCTTATTAAAAAAAATTATTTATTTTTTCGCTCTCAATGGCTTTGCTTAGACAAGTAAATAGTTTTCCTAGTTAGGAGTCCCTAGAAGCATGTTGCTGTATGTTGACTAAAGCCTCGATAGATTTTGAGTGAGGCCTTAATAACATGATATATACCAATCATGCTTTCCCAATCTAGGCTATGTTATTCACTCTAATCATGAGCTACCTTACTCTACTCACATTGAGCTTAGAGTTTTCTGCTTGGTCCTTCTTTTCTTTAATGCAGAGGTACTTTCGCTTCTTATACCATCTCTATTACCTTTCTCCATTATAATTCATTTCATCAATATAACCCTTGAGACTCTCAGTCTTAACCACTGAGGTTTATGGTTATACAAAATTTGCGTTCATGATCTTAGTTTCATGCCACTATGTACTAAGTGAAACCCAAAATTCAACACCATTAATGAATTGACGGTGAATTCAATAATTCAAGATATTACTTGTTACCCAATGAAATCTCTTTTTGTTTTTGAGTAATCTTTCTGAGATTACCTTTCACCAAGGTGTCTCTAACCCTAAAAGATTCAGTTTTTTTTTTTTTTTTTGAGATTTCTTAAACTTACTTGTCACTGTAAATTATTTCTCACCTACTTGTTCAACAGATCACAATGATCTCACAAGTACTTCGTTCTATTTTGATCTTATGTTAAGTATCGAAATTATGAATTGAAGTGAAAGCCACCCACTTTACCCTTTAAAAAGATGCCTTTCAAGACTTCTGAACAAGTTATTGATTGTTATTTCATGGGAAACGAAGCAAGCACTTCAATGTCTCTCTTGACTTTGAAGGAAGTGATTTTTTCCCAAAATCAATTGATTTATGTCTATCTACGACATCACAGTCAATCACAAAATACTCGTTTTATTTCTTTATCTCTTACACACTTTGCACGAAAATTTTTAATTTTCCAAAATTCTAAGCTTTACATAGATTATCAAGGCACAAATACTCAAGCGTTATACGGTGAAACGATTGGGTTGAAAGGTCGTTGACTCAGCAGAAATTCAAACGGTTTGGCGATTTGAAAAAGGTGAGTTTTTATCAAAAGGCGTGAAAAAGGGGAAACATTTTTCTCTCTCCTACGTCACCTTTGGCATGCCAACTGTTCCCACATCAAGTCAGGCGCGTTTTTAGAGATACTCCAGGATTACATCCGGATTCTTCTCTCTCATCCTTGTACGTATAAAAGGAATTGGAACGATACTCTCTCAACCTTTATCACTTCCAAAAAGCTCTCAAAGAAACTCGACTATTTTCTGCACTGTTCATCATCATTCTCAAGCTCCAATAATTGTAGAATCTTCATTTGTTCATGATACCTCAATTCGTCAACCCCTCCTCACAATAAAACCCCAGCAAAACCTAATCATCGATCTTACTCCTTCGTTTATGAGTCGTATATGCTTTATGTGGTTGAGTGTCTCAAATACTCACCACTTGTAGATGCACTGACAAAGGTTGAAATTGTGCCAATGTCGCTCTTATCCCATGTCTAGTCCACGGCGTTCTATGACAAAGCCAATGAGCGTATCCACTTCTAGCTTCACGATGAGAAGGTCGCTATCTCCAAGAGCCGATTTTGTGCCCTAATCAGTCTCTCACAAGACCCATCTCTGGTAAACCCTAACTCTATTACTACTGGCCAACTGTTTACCATGTTTTATCAAATGGGGTATACTGAAACCCTAACAACCATCACAAAGTTCAAGAATTCCTGCCTTCCTCCTCAATGGAATGGCCTATTCACACTCCTGTTCAAGGGTTTATCTGAGTGAAGTGCTGGTTCTGACGGTGCTAGAAAGGCCTTCATGACGGTGATGTATGGGTTGTACAGTGGGCTCAATCTTGACTATGGATCTATCATTTGGCAGCAGTTGGTTCAATGTTTACTTTCTTCATCAAAGCACTCCGAAATTTCCTGTGGGCGTTTCTGGACCATTATCACCAAGTGGGCAATGGATCGCAATCGCATCCCAATAATGGCGAATTCCTTACTTTCTTCAATCACCACTTTTCATACGATGAAGATCATCGTCACTGACCCCACAAAGTTTTCGTACATCGGCTCCATTCCTGAAACAATGCTTGGTTGTATCTCAGCATCAAGCAATCTTCTTCATCTATATAGAAAACGCAAGTTTGTTGGTCCACGTGAGCTTACTCCTACAATTCTTTGTTCTATTGAAGAAGATGATAAACCAGCCAAAAGGGGCAAGAAACCTGAATCGCAAAAGGAGGGACCTATAGCAAAACCATCCAACGGGCAGACCCCCAAGAAGAGGAAAACTGATCAAGCAGCTCCTTCTCAACCACAACCCAAAAAGCAGAAGAAGCCTGATAGGAGACTTATTCTTCAATCCTCAAGTGATTCAGATTCAGAATATGTTCCTCCTAAGCATAAGAGCGCTCCAACTACAGATTCTGAGAACGAAAGTTCAGATGAAGAGGCTTCGGGCCGCGGTGATACTCCACCTCGCTCCCCATCTCCAGAAATTCTGGTTCGTTCATTGCCTCCTTCACCTCCATCTGTTACCATTCCTGCTTCTATCCCTCCTATCTCTCAAACAACCACTTCTCAACCCTTTACTTCCATACCTATCCCCACTCCCATTTTCACAGATACAACCTCTACCACCACTACAAAACCTACCTTCACTATTCTCAAACCTCCTGTAACCGAACCTACTCAAACAACCGAACCTCCTAAAACAACCGAACCTTCAACTTCCTCAAAACCCCTATCTCCAACACCTTCTACAGAAACAACCCCAATTTTAGGCGGTGAGGACTTGGAGTTTGACTCTACAGACTTCAGTTCTTATCGAGTACAAAGTGAGGATGATGACGACGAGCCTATCACCAAACGTCATCTCAAAGCGGTAAACGAAAAACTGGATGAATTGCTTTCCTCCTCTTCCTCAGGCGCTTATTTAGATGCGGCATTAAAGGCTCTGTTCTCCTCAATTGTTGTTGAACATTCAGCCTCCTTAACTGTTGCATCCAAGGCTATTTGAAGCCTCCACTTCTTAGTGTCAACAGGCTTCTCAAGCTGTTGATGTGTCTACAAAAGAGTGCAAGGATGGGACCGCAAAAGTCGATAAACTAGTTTCTCAGGCTCATATCTTTTTAGATTCTTTGCAGGATGCTGCTGTCAAGAACGCTGCTATAGTTACCTCTTCTGTAGAAACTCTTCAACAAACTCTTCAATCTGAGTGCTCGAAGGTTGAAGCAGCATGCCATGCTATTCAGCAGGCGAATGAAGCGTTCCATGCTAATGTTAACGAATGCTTATCTCAACTACAAGCGGACTTAGCTATGGAGAATGGGCTTATGGATAAGCTTGTCAGACACACAAATCAGCTTAAATTGCAAACTCATAAGCTGCGATCTGCTCATGCTGAGATTGATGACCTCAAATCAGAGAAGGAAGTTATAAGGAGTTCAGCTGTAGAGGTTCACTGCATTCTTCTTCATCTCATTGAAGGTCATGATCCCCTTGTCACTATCACCACCCGACGACATTTAGCAGATAAGCTCCGACCGGCCCTAGACGTCCTCAGTCGTATCGAGGGTGTTCCGGTGGTTGGGGTCCAACCGCAACAAGGGGGAGAGAAAGAGTTCAAGCAAGAGAAACAAGAGACGAATCAACCTCTTCCATCTAGCCCCAAGCCAGCTGCTGAACCGAAGGGTAATGAAGCTTCGTTCAGCATCAAGGAAAAGAAAAAGAAGAAAATCGGTGAAGATGATACTGACAACGAAGATGATGTCTACGTTGAAGTTCCAAGAAAGCCTGTCCCAAAGGTTGCTTCTTCACAAAAACAAACTGAAGAAATTTCAATGAAGGAGCGATCTGAGCTAGAATAGAAGCGAAAGGAGGCGGAGCTCCTTGAAAAGAAAAAGGCCATGTTCCCTGAATGGACCAAAAACTCGCTTCAGAGGTGTGCGATCGATGAGCTAGCTGTTCTATGGCTCAAGCCAACAATGTCTTTCAGCCTTGACAACTCCAGGGATGCGCAGTTCGACATGTCAATCACTAGAAAGGCATTCGTCTTCCACTGTTTCAATTCGACTGCTGCAATTCCATCTCCAAACCCGAAGGTAGATAGGGATATGTTAGATTTTTATTTGGAGTTTGCTCAACCTCAATACCAGACATGGAGTTCGAAGAAGATAACCACCATCAAGGTGATGAAACCCTATTCAGCAGGGAAATTCATCAATGTCAAGTTTAGGGTGACTAGAGGAACCGAAGGCTCTGTTCACCACTTTACCCTTGCTGATCTACCGAACCTTAACCCCCATGACTGGATACTCCTCAACAACATTCTTTTGTCAAATCCTTAGGAGTATCAACTGATTATTGATCATGTCAAGCGTATGCTTGTCTGCTACATACACGAGGTAGCAAAAATGGACCAGGAAATTGCATCTGCTATACACAAGTGACCAACGATCAAACCGATGGGCAGAGCTGGCAATGTTAATTCCATGATCAAGGGGAAGATAGATTCCAAGTATCACACAGTCATGTTTCTCAGGGGCGAAGGTCAGAAATGTATGTTCGCTCTTGTTGACAAACACCTCTTCTCGATGTCTTGTCTCGAGCATATCTTGGAGATCATACAGAGGTGCGACCAGAACAGTGCATCAGATAAAAAGTTGTTTGTCGACATGCTGAGGTGGTACATTCTATTTCGACAGACTCTTCTCGCCATTATTCCTAAACTATTTAAAGTTATCAAGACAGTGAGGCCTGCTCAGAAGAAATAATCTCTCACCTCATTTGACGCAAAGGGGGAGATGGTTGAGTCTGGTGGATTGCGTCATGGGCTCGATCCATAGCCTAGTTTAGTTGCTAGTATTGGGCCTATCCAGTCGTGCATAATTTTGTTTTAGGGTTAAAGTATATAAGCTGCATGCATGCAGACTTAGAAAACGACGCTTTTATTATTTTCATTTACATTGCTTGTAAACCTTAGCTTGCCTCTACAACGGAAAGTTCTTCATCGAGCTCTGCTGAGGCGTGACTCAGTTTTGAATCATAAGCTCTTATTTGATTCTGATCTGTGTTCGTTCATAATTTGTTTTTATCTGTTATAATTCTTTTATCGTACTTGTGAAAGATCTAAACGATCAAAGAGTCTTGAACTCATCAAAGGGGCTAGTTCATTCGGATGTAGCATGCCCGGATGGATGGTAAAGCTTGTAACATTGTATGTTGGTAACCTAGTTCGAACCCCACCCAAGTTTTTTTAGTCCAGTTTTATTTTAGCCCCGATTTTTTTTGTTACGTTTAATAAAACTTCATCTTAGGGCAAAAACGCGTTCCGACTTCTCCTCCTTTCTTCTCCCTTTTCTGCCTCCGACTTCTCCTCCATTTTTTCCCGTCCTCCGCTCCTCAAACGCGACCACCGCTCGTCCGGTCGATTTGCTGCCTCCATCTCCGAAGAACAGTCGCCATCGCAGGGAGACGATTTCGAAGACGCACACGAACACATACCCTTGTTCGATGAAGACACAGTTGCGTTCGTCAACCCTGCTTCTCCGTTTTTCTAACCGGCAATCCGTGTCGCCGTCTCCATCTGCCCTCCCCATCTCGCCGGCGCATCTGCCCTCCTAATCTCACCGCCTCCTTGCTCGATTTGTTCCCAAAGAAAGGTAAAACCCTAGTTTTGTTTTGATATTACTTCGTGTATAAGATGCTTAATTCATTGATAATGTTGATTTGCTTTGTTGAATGTGAGGTTTTAGATTATATTTTAGGTCGAATTTGAGGTTTTAGGTTAAATTTTGGTTAAATTTATTGAAATTCTGGTAACTAGTGAAGCTGATCATGGCTTGGTTAGATTCATTAGGTTAAAATTTGGTTGAATTTAGCTTAATTCATTGGTTAAAATTTTCATTTTTTTAGAGCCGAGCAAACCACCTCGTTATCTTTCCTTGGCCCTTCCCATTGCAGAAATTGATGTTTTGTTACTAATATTTGTTTCTTTTTGTTACAGATGTTCTATTATTAACCACTACACAATCTATGTTAGAAGTTTAATTAAACGGTTAGCTTTGTCCATTCTTCCTCTACTAGGTAAGTCTTGAACACATTAAGGTAAATTGACGACTCTTTGTTTAACATCCTTTTTTAGCTAGCATGTTACATGGTTTTTTTGTTCGTGGCATTATTGAATACAATTTTAGAATAATTAGGGTATATATGTTTTGAAAAAGTAGCCATTAGGGGCATTCCAACTGATATTAAATTTTTGATGTTGTAGAATGACAGTAATCTATGAATAATTAATAAACAATGAATAAAAGTAGGTTGTTATTTTGGCAGGTGCTTCCTTTAGCCCGTGAGTTTTTGCAGCTGCTTCTTCGTGCCAAACTAATGTTCTTTTATTTTGAAGGTGAGTATACAATGGTTCATTATTTTTTACAATAGTTTATTATTTTTTACAATCTACCAAGCAATTTTATTATATATTTGGCAGGTTTATATTAACATATATTAAAGCATGCAGCAAGCATTCTATGAATCAAAGACTGAGGTATATCTTAACATTCTCTTAAATAAATTAAAAACTTCAAGTGAACTGTGTCTTGTGTTGTAGGTGGTTACAATTCATCATTATCGAAACAAAAGGCAAATGAAGGTTGGAGATTAAAAGTTAAGTATATTGCTATAAGTATTATAAAAAAATGCATTGTTATAATAAACTAAAGTACATTGCTATTATTGTTTAAGTATTGAATTGTGTTACAATTTTTTTGGGTTGATAGGTTATGTGCAGAAGTTTCTACCATGGAACAACAACAACAAATGAAAGAACAAATGGAAATGGTTATGCGGATGCTGAATATGTATAGAAATCAACCCTATGCTCCCCTCGATAATCCACCTTAGGACAATTGATAAGTATTTTGGAACAACTGAATTTGTCAACACTTGATATTGTTTGTTTGTGCTTATTTTTGTATGGTATTTTGGACAATGGAATGAAATGTGTCAAACTTGGTATTAGGGATGTTTTTTGATGTATTGTATATGGTTTTTGGGACAAATTTGAATTGAATGTGGTATTTGACAAAAAAATTGGAAGATTTTAAATTAATTTTTTTTAAATAAAAACGAAGCTAGCTACGGATTTCCGTAGCTATTTAGGTCCGTAGCTATTCCGTAGCTATGTGCATCCGTAGCTATTCCGTAGCTATTTAGGTGCGTAGCTATTCCGTAGCTATTTAGCTCCGTAGCGATTCCGTAGGAATTCCGTAGCTATTTTTTTCCGTAGCTATTCTGTAGCTATGGTAGCTACGGAATTTTCCGTAGCTATTCAGTAGCGGTTCCGTAGCTAATCCGTAGCTATAATTTAGCCACGAGCCATTATGCTACATCCATTTTTCCATAGCAATTTCGTAGCTATCCGTTTATTGCAATGGAATAGCTACAGATTGTGTCGTAGCTATTGATCAAGTTTTCTAGTAGTGTTAGAGTAACCCATTCTTTAAGAATGTGATAACGATAAATACTTCTTTTAACATATTTTCTTATTCGGATTTGAAATACTTTCAAAATTATTTAAATGTACATATATGTTAATAATGCTTAAAGAAATTTCTTCTAAATTGTTAAAAATTTGTTGTCCTTTTATTTTCCAAGCAGTACGACAATTCTTTAAAAATTATCATATCAAATTGAATAATTAAGTAGTTTTTTCAGGATATTATATATAAATAGATATTCTGTAAGAATATGTGATGTTCATCACTTCATATGATTTGAGATGACTCTTGCAAACACTTATCAATTTCTACAAGATTTTTTTTAATTAAGTTAATTTTTTGTCTATTCTAGAAGATATGGAAACTTAATGTATTTTTTTGTGCAAGTGTTAATGTCAAATACTAGTTATGTAATAAACATTTTGTGGTGCTAACTGTTTGGTTTTTTATTAACATTTTTTTTAGAATTATGGATGCCGTTTTATTTCTCGTTAGAAATCTAACATTCAAATATATTATAGTATGCGATTCCATTGAAGAGTACGGAAGTCATATTTGATGATGGTGGTTTTAAGCCTTTCATTTGACATAAGAAAGTAGAGCATGAGAAGTTGGTTGTGGGTATAGAGAAACCCTATTATAATTAGGTCAAAGGATGTGTGACACCAGAGTATAAGAATCTGGTTATTCATTGATATGCAGTTGACTGATCATGATATGAGGAGATAGATTTGCAAGCAGTTGACTGATCATGATATGAGGAGTTATCCTCATACAAATATATAATATCATCATTTGTTTATTTTCATTTGAGAGTGGTTTTCAATTTTTTGTTTATGCGCGTTATGTTTTATTAGATATCAGAATAATTATTTACATTTAATAAGATTTGGATTACTACATTAGAGTATTTATAATTTCAATAATATATCAAATTCTTAAATAATTTGTGTATTTTCATTTATTATTACAGCATAAGGTTAATTACTACAATAACATGTTTGATTCTGCAAGAATATTTTAAATAACATGTTAGATTTTTCAAGAATTTTATATTTTCCCTTTATTCTTAATCTTCTGTATGTAGAAAGGAAGTTACAATGTAAATAATTTTTAATACTAGTAGTAGACATTCTTCAAGAATTAAGCAAAACAAGACGTTGTATTAAATTTAAAAATATTAATTGTAATTCAAATGTTAATTTCAATTAAGCAAAATAATAATTGTAATTCAAATGTTAATTTAAAAATTAGTTACAATGTAAATAATTTTTAAGCAATACAAGCTTAAAAATTATTTGAGTATCTGTTGCAGTTACCAAGAAAACCAGGAAACATCAACACGTTTAACAAAATGCAACAATTGTTAT